AAATACAACGTCAAAAATATAACTTATACACTGTATATAGTATATCACAATCATACTGCATATCTGTTTGATAAAACCACACAGTGATACATTATCATTATTATTATTATTATTATTACTATTTACTGATGACGTTCCGAGTACAATTATCATCAATAATCATACCGAGGCACTCACATAACTTTCAAATTTCCTTCGTATAATTCCAATTATTCTTTTATCCTTTAATTGCATTCGTAGTAGTATTTCTCATACCTCTCGTATTGGAGTTGCATCATTCCTATCGCACGTGTTAGATGCGGATTCGATGAACGGAATTCCAGTAATCAATCTCTCACTTTCTGTCTCTCTCTCACTCCCTCCACCTACTCATATTACTTTTAGAGTAGTAGATCTGCCTTCCCTTATAGTGTAATTGTGTGTTAATGAATGCATTGCAATATTTCTGAATTTTTTCTCTAAGCTATCCACTCTCATCCAGTCAATCGTTCTACACTTAACTGAATTCTTATCTCATTTTGCTAAATGCAAACAAACATGAGGAGGTAAGCCATGTGTTAGTGCTTATAAAAAGCTAACGCACTTTAATAGATATTTAGAGTCTAATTCATCTCATTTGTTATCTGTAAATGCAGGCTTAGTCAACTATCTAACTTACCACACATTACCTCTAGGTAGTACCTCAGAAAACTTAAATGATAAAGTGAAAAAGATCGAAACCCAGTTGGTAGTGAATAAAAATCCAGTAAAAGTCATTAAGAAGAACACAAACATTCACAGAAAAATGAAAAATAGTAGCGTAGCTATTGATCATAAAATAGATCAGAAAGGATTTTAGGCACATACACATTTACCATATAAAGAATCGACATCTGAAACATTACATAACATTCTTAATAAGGCGGGAATTAGATTGGCAATTAAGTCTGCAAGCCCATTCAGAGACATTCTGTGTAGGCTTAAATACCCTAATTACCTGATTAGAAAAAATAATGTATTCTACAACATACCTTGGAATGACTGTGAAGTCAACTACATAGCTCAGGCCAAAAGGTGTCGGAGTAGTCAGGTTATCAGAATATAAGAATTCAACTAAGTTTTCAAGAGTTCGGTTTTTAAGGATTAGATTTGTTTTAACGAGTTTAACCACGGACTGATATCAATTAGAGAACCATTGAAAACCAGCACTGGAGTCCTGGACAGCTGTTTCATCCTAGTTTGGGATTCATTGGCAGTACGCACCCACTCTGTGGGGTTTGAACCCAGGACCTTCCGGTTGCAAGCTAGTCTTGTATATCACTCAGTCACTGGCACTCGGTTCATTGGCCCATAAGTTCCAGCTTCTACAGATTCGTGATCTAGCGCGACCACCAACCAATGTCATCGGTGGGAAATCCATTCTCCGACTTGCTGGTTGGATCCCACTAGTCACGAATTCTCACTATAACTCCAGGAAACTCTGTCCTGTAGCAAGTCACTAGCGAGAATCGGATTAATTTTCGAGAGTTTGGTCAAATTCAGTTAAGTGTAGAACGATTGACTGGATGAAGACAGAAAGAATTAAATATTGCAATGCATTCATTAACACACAATTACACAATGACGTAGGACGTAGCTGCTACTCTAAAAAGTAATATGATTAGGTGAAGGGGAAAGAGAGAGAGTGAGAGATTGATTACTGGAATTCCCTTCATCAAATCCACATCTAGCACGTGCCACAGGAATGACGTAACGCCAATATCAGAGGTATGAGAAATACTACTACCAATTCAATTGAAGGATAAAAAATAGTTGGAATTATATGAACGCAATTCGAGAGTTATGTGAGTGCCTGGATATGATTATTGCTAATAAACTGTACTCGGAACGTCATCAGTGAATAATGGTAATAATGATAATGTATCGCTATGTGGTTTCATCAAACAAATATACTCTATGATGGAATTAAATAAATATTTTCGCTTGCATGAATGCGATAATTCTTATTGATTATTCAAGGTCATTTGGCAAATTATTCGCTCGGGTTGTTGTACTCTGTGTTTACCAATTAAATGTTTTGATGCCGGTTCTGTGTAAACTTATGAAATAGTTTTATTTATATTGCAATTTCAACAACTTATATTTGAAAATTTATGAATTCTGCTTATATATATATAAACAGACTTTTTGTCTTACTTCACGAGTGCATCACACACCACTGTAAGATGAAACTCGTGTCTTCCTTGAAATATCATATACCTCCATCTATATTCATCTTCTGATTCAATTTTGTACTGTGTAGAAAGTAAACTCAATTCGACTTGGTGAATACCAGTCCTTTAAGAAGCAATATCAAAGGGTTTCCAATCCTGGTGTTTGGTTCAGTAATTACCTTTATTATTCACTTCAATGACACTTCAGACAATTGGGTCGCATTTATCATCCAACTGTCGGTTAAACTAATACAGAAGATTTGTACCTCAGGCAGGTGTTTCGAAGTTAGTTGTGTTCTCTGAGCTGGAAAACATCTTCAGTGCAAATTTTAGCATAGAATGGACTGAATTGAATTCTCCATGAATGATATAATTTTGTATCCTGGCAATCATTGTCATAACTGTTTGTCAATTTATTTTTTTTTTAATTTTTGATTACAGCTTGACTCCACATCGTATTTTTCTGGTACAGGTATGGAATTTTCAGCATGGATATCGGTAGCCCAAATTTTGCAGGCCGACTATATATATCAGGTGTGCGTTGCCAGAGGATCGAACCCCGGACCATGTGCATGATCGGCGAGAGTCCTTACCTCTGTGCCACCGACGCACACGTCTCTATTGATCATTTTTATTGACTTGGGATTCGAACTATCTCGTCAGGTGATTTACTGCTTATTAGTTGGTAAATTTCTTCTATGTTAATATTATTGCTAATTGTTGATTCGCTTGAGTACCAGGCTTCTAGGAATTCCCTGGTACTTATAGTGTTTCCTCTATTTAAAATTTCTACATTATCCCAATCAAATCGGCGTCCATAGTTATCTACATGCATTGATTTGAAAGAATATTTATATATCTCTTATCTTTTTACAGACAATTTGTGTACTTGGATTCTGATTAGTAGGGGATGACCACGTTGACCAAATAACAAACCTAATAATATAGACCAAATTTACCATCTAATAAGAAGTAAATCGCCTGACGAGAAAGTTTGAATTCCAAGTCAATAAAAGTGATCAATAGAGACGTAAACTAACAACCAGGAAACACAATTATATCATTCATGGAGAATTAGAATCAGTTCATTTTATGCTAAAACTCGCACTGAAGATGTTGTCCAGCTTAGAGAATACAACTAATTGCAAGGCTGTTAAACTGTTATTAGTGGTTGATATTGCACAGAAAAACCAAAAGCTCACATAGCTGTGGTATCAGACCAACTTATTTTCAAACTGCATGCTCAGTTACGCGTTCTTAAGCAAATCATGCTTGCGACGCTTACCACCAGTTTCATGATCTTTGTACTATTTTATATCTCAGCTTATTTCTTGTTCTTGTGTTTCCATCAGTCTGGCTCTGGATAGTAGTTGTACATAACAGCATACTGCTTCGCTAATCTATCGAATAAAATTCTTAGTGACTATCTTTTTAGTAGTCATGCAAAGGATCACTACTGATAAACACCTACTTCACGACCAATGTTATCAGTGGGAAATTCATTCTCTCACTTGCCTGGTTGGACTCACTGGTTACGACTTCCCAGTAGAATTCCAGGAAACTCTGTCCTGTAGCACGCCACTAGCGAGAATCGGATTAATTTTCAAGAGTTTGGTCAAATTCCGTTAAGTGTAGAACGATTGACTGGATGAGAGTGGATAGCTTAGAGAAAAAATTCAGAAATATTGCAATGCATTCATTAACACACAATTACACTATGAGGGAAGGCAGATCTACTACTCTAAAAGTAATATGAGTAGGTGGAGGGAGTGAGAGAGAGACAGAAAGTGAGAGATTGATTACTCGAATTCCGTTCATCGAATCCGCATCTAACACGTGCGATAGGAATGATGCAACTCCAATACGAGAGGTATGAGAAATACTACTACGAATGCAATTAAAGGATAAAAGAATAATTGGAATTATACGAAGGAAATTTGAAAGTTATGTGAGTGCCTCGGTATGATTATTGATGATAATTGTACTCGGAACGTCATCAGTAAATAGTAATAATAATAATAATAATAATGATAATGTATCACTGTGTGGTTTTATCAAACAGATATGCAGTATGATTGTGATATACTATATACAGTGTATAAGTTATATTTTTGACGTTGTATTTTTGAGTAAACTGTAATCACAGTTAGGAAAAACTTTTATAATCGGTAACAAAGGTTAGCGGTCTTATAAATAAATGCAAATAACCTCCAACTTCGTTTAGGAGTCGGTTCATAGAGGTCATACATGTTTCTGTACACAAATTCATCCAAATTGCGCCAAGCAATATCATTGTGTGCCCCATTTATGATTCCTACTCTCAACTTGAGTCTGCTCCAAATCCCTTTGATGGAATTTATGTAACTTTCATACATCAAACCTACAAAATCAGATGCTTGGTTTGCAGTATGATGTACTTATCCCAGAAATAAGTGAGAGTATCGTCTCCTCTCATCTCTGTGTATAGCAGTTATCGATTTTACTAGCATTTCAGTAATCAGAATCAAGGCAGTTGTACTCGTATTCTTGGTTCCCTGGAAATATTCATTGTTCAGACCGGGATATCATATCATCCAATCACCCAAATCTGACTCATCGCTTTACATTCATGTGTGTACTTGCATTTTATTAATACTGTCTCACCGATATGTGCAACAAATGCCATTCTCCCATGTATATATTTATGTATTTAACTTGGTTAAAACAACATTTCGAAAATTCTGGAACCACTACACTATATAAACTAAAGTGTCTTCAGTTTCAGCTGGAGTGGATGTGACTGGTCAGTAAAATATACAGAGCAGACAAATGTTTTTTTATATTGGTGATTGACAATTTTAACTTCCTAACAAACCTTCCTACAAAATCATCATGTTAACTAACGTATCATCCAGGATAGATTTCATACTGCGGAAACTTATACAAAGTATATTCGTATTCGTAAAACAAATAGATACTTCTACAGTTTTAGTCAACTTTTTTAATGTAAAACGTCTACTCGTTGCTATAAGTTGCGAATTCCAGCCATAGTATAATCGTGTTGGTGATGAAAACTAAAGTGTATTTTATGCATCACGTAGGTGATGGTGATGGAAAATCTGATTGGTTACTGAAGCTCATACGGTAGGTTAATCACGCGATTGGACTATCATACTTTATGTTCACCATGATGTGAACTGACTTGGAAAATTATTCTAAAAAAGTGTCAGTTGGTTACTTAATGTTTTTTTTCAAAAACAGTAACACTGGCTGCACTCACAAAAGTAAAATAAGCAAAATGAATGACATGTAACCTGAATCTAGTTCAATGACTAATCAACAGCATACAGAAATGCATTGAAAGCTGAATTGCCAAAAAAGGTTCAAAGCCTCGTATGTAAAGCCTTACCAGTATGCACCAAGTGCCCGACTCAAGGAGAATAGTAGAACAAAAGTGGGATAAAGATACATTTCTTAGGAATCATCTTATATATTCAAAATGTTGATACAAATATTGCTAAAATACGGAAAATCATCCGTAACTACTTTTGTCTAGTGAAAAGACATTATTTCATCAATAAATTAATAGTTTTTTATAAGCTGCATGAAACTAATATCATTAGTCGAATTAAGTACTAGATCCACTGTTACTATTATTATCGTTATTATTATGATTAGGATTATCTACATCATTTGGTTTATTAATACATTTTCTGTTTGTTAGACTATTTATTTATTAATTTGACACAGTGATATCTGGTGTCGCCTGAATTTATGAATGGATATTTTAAATATCACATGGGAAGGGAGTATCATCAGTGAGATAAGATTAGGTGTCTTAATTCGGTAAAAACTTACTTTTATGACGAAACTTTTGATTTTTCTGATAATTTAGAAAAAAATGAGGTAATGATAAATTGTCACATGTTGATTTGTAAGAATTTGATCCATTTTAAGTTGATTAAATCACGGACAGACATAATTGAGACAGTCACATCAGGAATAGACATCAGGAGACTTGAAAATTAGTCCAGTGTTCATTAATGATTAAAAATGATATAGACATCTTAGATTTAGGGTTAGGGAGAAGCTGTGACCAGTGTAGTTCATCAAGTCGAGTGTTAGGATAGGCACTAGTCGATAACACTGGCCAATGACGACTATATATATATATATATATATATATATGTATATATTGTGAATTGACAGAAGTTATATTTCATCGCCCACTGGATTGTGTTCCAGTGACTTAATAGTCAGTCAGCTCTTCTGATACCTTGAAGGTTCTAGGTTCGAAGTGTGTCAGTGGCTAAGTGGTAAGACACTAGCCATCCACTCAAGCTTTCATGGGTTTGATCCATGGTTGACGCACTAGTCCTTTACTTCGCTGAGCCAATTATAAGAAAGTGAAACTTCTACACTCTAGCTTGAAGTGATATGTACCACTGGGGACCAAAATGAATATGTTTGACTGTCTAAGTTCTACCTCCCATGGGTTGATAGGTGTGTGCTAATGAACAATCCCAAACTAGGATGAGGCAGCTTTCCAGCACTCCCATTTTCTCAGTGGTTCTTTAATTGATTTCGGCTCATGATGAAATCTAACTCGACAACAAGTTCAGATGAAATCTTTTGATATCATTTACAGGATTTCTACAATCCTTTTAAGTCTATTGGGTGTTTTTGTTAAATTAAAGCTTCATAATAAGTCTGTATTTTCCGGTATTTTACATTTTTACTAAATTTCGCTAAAGAATAAGTACTTTTAAAATATAATGCAATACATAACGTATGATAATCACAGTTGCTAATCAAGAAACGACTATTCTTATGTCTTCTGATGAATTTTGTATTCCCATACATCCCCAGTGGATCATAGGGCTTCAAACTGCTTGGGCCTTGAAGTTTCGGTAGCAGTGGTATTTATTTTTACGGGATAGAGTTCCTAGCATCATGTTTAAACTTCCCTCTTTATCATTCTATTACTGGCTCAGTGAGGTAAAAGAGCGTGTCGGCCAGGGGGTCGTACCCCGAACAACATGCGTGGTCGGCGAGCATTCTACCACTGTGCCACTGACACACACCTCATCTGACCATATCTGTTTCTAATTAGTGTTTTTCCTCTTTTAGACTGTCGCTGAAATTCATGGAAACACACAGAATCACAATTATGCTTTTCTATAAATAATTCGATGAAAAAATGAATCAAAATTGATTGGAGAGGTGAGTTAAAACAGACTTGTGTTAAAGCTGACTGACATCATAGAATGTCAATTAATTTGATATAAAAATATGCATAACTCAAAAACATTTCACTCGCATTGTAACCTGTATAATCTTCGTAGAGAATTTTGATGGAAAAAGCTAATCATTTTTACAAATTTGAATTCTCATTTTCGTAGAGAATTCATCATGAAAAGATATCCATATTACCCTGGACGTTTTCATTTTAGTCAAGGAAGGGGGAGATTAGAAATTCATACAATGCTGAATAGCATACAGCTCATGTGATTTATGGAACGAAAGCATACATTGAACAGTTTTTCGAGGAAGTGGGAATAACACATTCAGAGACATACTGATAGATGTAATCAATGGAGAAAATGAAAGACTTAGGCGATGAATATAAGTAGTCAGTCAACTGTTATTATTGCTGTTATTCCCTAGAGTTCCGAGTGAAACGTAGGGCTTCAGCAGCACATTAGCCTTTCATCCTGTTTCCTGCAGTCGTCGTTAGCTTCCTGCATGATAGTTCAAAAGTCCTCATCTGTTTCTACTGCAGTCTCCGCCTTGTCACTCTGTGACCAATACTCGACTCGTGTTTCCCATTCGGGTTCCACTCGAGCAATTCCCTTGCACGTTATGTCAATCAGTCGTCATCTCAGCGTGTGTCCGATCGATTTCCATTTGTAATTGGTTAACTACTGAATTATTAACAGTAATCGAGGTATGTATGCTGGGTACTTTTGCATAAGTAATGTAGCGTTGCTCCAAGAAAACACGTCAAATGGTTTTCATGTTAAAATCCAACCCTACTTCATGTAGTCTGAAGTCTTCTTCCCGGAATTCTGAATCTGTGTTTCGCATATTAATTAACTTATCATCAAAAGTGACCCAGAACTGTAGGTTCGTACTGTACCCGAAATTTAGTGCTACACTACTCATTGAGGGAATTAAAGACATAAGTATCACAATATTGAGTTCACAAACTATGTAATGCTACATTTGGTATTCTGTGTGCTTTGAAGTCCCAGTATCTGTGGGGTTACTGGCTCCATTCTCAACCTTTCCTCTTTCTCAGACTCAGGACTAGTTAGTAAATTAAGTGAGATAAGACAGGCTTCTCAACCGAGATATCAGGTCAGGAATAATGAGGTACTCTGGCAGCCATTCGCTTAATAAAATAGGAAGACAATAAAACTAACATGCTATTACATTCAAACATATAAAATCTCGACTAGAATGAAACTCTAATAAGATACTATCTAGTGCAAACCGGCCACAAAGCCAGCCAGCTTGGACGAATCCTTCTCTATAATCTACCAGGTGACTAATTAATTCCCGAAATTATCGAAGCATCGCATGCTACAAACATCAGAGGCTATTGCATTTCGCCCCAAACTACCAGTGATCTGTGTTCAACAGAAGCAAGTCCATCCAGCCCCTACTACTGCCCTGGCCTTCAAAAGAGACTATAAATTCATGAATTTGTATTATTATCTTTCCTAATATTTCTGACATTAGCTTATTTTATGTTGATGCTTTTGAACTGCAATCTATCGATTTTATTGATTCGATGTTATTTAAACAGCAACATTAATGTTGTTCATAACACTAATTCATTCATTCACTATGATGTATGCATAACTGTAGAGCCTGATGATGAAGTTATCGAAAAGAGTACTCTTTGTTCAGTATCCCTTCTTTTGAAGAGAAATTTTTGGAAAGAATATTCTTCGTTCAGATTGAGGAAAATAAAAATGTCTGATTATTTCTAACCTCATAAACAACTGTAAATAAACTTCCTGCATATATTTCACACGTACACACATACGAATTCACCACACTGAGATAAACAACGAGAAGGTCGTAAATACAAGCTGTGGGCACACATAACTTTGCCATGTTTTGTTGTTTCAGTAAACTATTATAATACATAATATTTCCTTTATCACATATTGAGGTCGATGAAAATTGTCTGTCTGAAAGATGTGTTAGTACTTCAATGAATGGTAAAACCAATAAGCTGAATATACATACTTTTCGGATAGCCAATCACTTGGATGCATTTTAGCCTACAGTTTACTAGACCAGTCTTAAAAACTACTCATTTTTAGTCGATAATATAATTACCAAAACCACGTATCTGGATTATTAAATTTTCAGTATCTTCGAGCTAATTTCGTTAAGTTGATACCTTCAAACTTCTAATATTGTTATCATGAAATTTGATGTACAAATTCTGCTGGCCTCTTGTTAATTGTGATCAGTGCAAATTACGGTAGGTTTATTTAAATTTATTGATCTCATAATTATTTATTCATACACTGGCTATTCACTTAAAAATATTCAGTAAATGTGAAAGAAATTTGTTTATAAGACATGCATTTTAGTTAAAATGAACAAATTTAGGAAGTCGTGAAATTAAAACGAAAATTAGTAATTTTTTTTCCTTCACGTTCCCAGTGGAACATAGGGCTTAAATCTAGTGGCTTGAAGTTTCTGCAGCAGTGTTTATTTTACTGGATGGGGTTGCTAGTCTCATGCCCAACCTTTCCTCTTTACCAGTCTCGCTAGTGGCTTAGCGAGGTTTGGGAGTGCGTCGGCCGGGGATCGAATCCCGGACCATGTGCATGGTCGACGTAAATTTTACTAGAATTAAGAATGTAGGATCTTCACACAATCTCCTTTCCATTAAGTGACTAGGAATGAACTGATGCTGCCTATTTTACCGGTTGCTGTCAAAATTCTCAGTTTTTTTCTCTTAAAGACACCATGAAAGAAAATTAGTCCCTGTAAATTCATTCTAATGTGTATCAGTGGTACAGAGGTTAGGTCTCTCGCCGACCATGCACATGGTTCGGAGTTGGATCCCTGACGACTCACACCTGATATAAATGGTCGGCCTGTTAAATATGGGCTACCGTATCACATGCTGAAAATTCCATACCTGTACCAAAATACGGTGTGAAATCAAGCTATAATAAAAATAATAAAAAAGTATCCTTTGCCAGTACTACGTTTTGTGGAAGATTAGAAGTATTTTGTATTTGAATAGTTTTGTGTGCCATCTCGTATATCTAGATTTTCTTTACTGAATCAACATTGGTGACGTTTCTGACTACAGTGCTAGGTGACCTGGGTTCGGATCTGAGGAACGTCATGATTTCCTTCAGTGTTGCAAATATGCCCTGTTAATGATTGACAACAAGAAAGAAACTTGTGTCAAAGGCATCCTACCGATTTCCTCCAACCGTTTGACGACAACTCCGAATGTACCTAAGTGACCACTCAATCAGGCTTGAATGATAGAATTCACTTTGAACCAAGCGAAAGACTAAACGTGTGACATTTGTTATTACATAGCATTTGATCAAAGAATTTACTTCGTTATGAGTAATCACTTATGTTTAATCGAGGTCTTGAATTCTAGTTAAAGAGGAATTAATAATACAGCCTAATTATGCAGAATAAGATGCATCATGACGACTTCTAATGAAGATTATTTACAATTTCTAGTTACATGATCTAGGAAACATGATATAAATTATAAGTTAAATAAAATAGCATATTTACTAAAAGCCGACATTGGTATATTAGAGTATGAGTGTTTGTAGTATTTCTTAGAAGGGTACAGATGTTCTAAGTAAGTTCACTTCTCTGTGCTTACCTTGTTAGTATGATATTTATTCCCACAGCAGAAAACTGTTATCATTCTTGATGTACCTAATTTCTAGCCAGACATAAAGATATATGGCCTGAAAACGCCTTAGATAAGACAAAATAAGAAATAAGGTGGTAGCACAGCCACATTATTTAACACAAACAAAACAAATCCCAGTTCTCCTAATAGTCACTTGTGGTGGCTGTATTTGCTGATGATCGAATTACAGGTGAAAGTCAGTAGGTCGTTAAAATCCTATCCAGATTCACTAGAATATAAAAGATGGCCGATGTATCAACAGTGAATTTGATATGCATGTCAAGCATTTCAAGTTGCCTCGATTCGTCCATCTGTAGGTGACCTTGATTACAGTGACAAACGATAATTGTTAAATATGAAATATATATATGGATATCATAAAGTAAATATTACTAACTCCGTAATTCTCTAAAACATACATCAAAACTACAGTTTTAGAACAAAATTATTAGAACTGACGAATACATGATACATTTGAAGCATGTTGAAAAAGGTGTAACTTTTTAAACTTGTACTTTGTTATGTGAATAGAATTTCGGCACTCCGGTAGAGCGAAACCTTTTTTAGCATTACCTTGATATCATTATGAGTAATAAATTGTGCTTTAAAGAGTATCAATAGATAATTTATGATGTATCACTGTAGGTTATATCCGATAAAACTCTCCTGTTGTGTTTTATTAGTTACAACGTGTCACTAATTTTGAATACAATCTGTTCTTTATTTGTAAAATTCTTCCAATGTTGACACTGCAAGCTGTGTGAAATACATGTAAAAGTATAAATAAAATTATTGTCTTTATTCTGTACAGCTCTGTGCGTTTTCTCATTACTTAATAATCGGTGCGCGAATTCGAAATTGCGAATCTAATAGCACTCTGTAGCAGTAAGTAGTAATATAGAGAAAGATTAGAGAACTCATTAGTTTTAGACTTTAGATGACACCTATAAAATTCATTGGGAAGATCAGAAAAGGCCAAAAGCAAAATAAAAATAATTGTCAAACTCGTAATGATAACATAAATAAATTTTACCATATAAGGGGGAGACATCTAGAACCCCATGTAGGATTCTGAATGAAGCAGGAATTGGGTTGGCATTCAAACCTACAAACTCTCTAAGGTAGGACAAGCTCTGTAGGCTAAAAAACCACATAGACCCAATTAAACAAAATAATATAATTTACAAAATGCCTTGCAATGACTGTGAGGTCAACTACATAGGTTAAACTAGTAGGTCGGGAGTTATCAGATTGTCGGAACATAAGAATTTAGCTAAGGTAAGAATGGCTGACCCCGAGAAGATAAGTAATTTAGAAAAAAGCTCAGCAATTGCACTTCATGCAATAACAAACAACCACACAATAGGGTGTGAGAGGGTTAAAATTCTAAGAAGTAATCTATGCAGGTGGAGAGAGACTGATTACTGAATCTTTGTTTATTGAGTCTATACCCAACACAGGCAACAGAAATGACTCAATGCAAATACCAGAGATACGGAAGATATTATTACCATCATTCAAATCAAAAGAGGATAAGAAATAATCTTAGACTTGTATTTCAATTCACGCACATCACAACATTGTAACAAGTTACTTATTCTGACTATAAAAAAACTTATTTCCCAAATGATTGTGATTGATTAATAACACTCATACTATTATTTCTGAATGTACTTTATCCTATGTTGACTTCTATTCAAATATCTAGTCATTTCGACACATGTATATAGATGAAGGAAAAACGTTGTGTGAGTACCTTGATAGGATTATGAGCAATAGTTTGTGCTCGAAACGTCATCAGTTAATATTACTGTATAACACCGTGTGACTTATCAAAATAAAATCTTATCCATAATAATGTTAAAACATTACCTTTGAAATTTCGCTAGTTGTAGAGGTCAGTTTCACAATAACCAGGGAGAACAATTTGCCATATCCGGTGGACAAATGTACTTTCGGTTATAGAGCTGCATACTTTCCCAGCATGCGAGAGACTTCTAAATCGATGGCTACCTACAACTCACACAACAATACCAACAACGGAAGCAGAACTACCAGTGAACATCAACCCCCTGACGAAATCATAAGTCCTGAACACAATCAAGAGGCTAAAAGCTGCAAAAGCAGCAGGACCAGATGGAATCCCAGCAGAAGCATTGAAAATGGACCCAGAGACATCAGCGGACTTGATGACACCACTACTGGAGAAGGTGTGGAAAGAGGGCAAAGTATCCGAGGATTGGAAGAAAAGATACTTATTAAAACTACCAAAGAAAGGAGACTTAAGTCAACGCAAAAACTGGCGTGGAATTATGCTTCTGTCCATTCCAAGCAAAATACTTAGCCGCATCCTCCTGGAGAGAATCAAACAAGCCAACCTGGATGAAAAACTTCGACCGGAACAGGCTGGATTCAGGAGATACAAATAATGTATTGATCAAATCGCAACTCTACGGATCATCATTGAACAAAGCTTGGAATGGAAATCACCTCTCTACCTCACTCAACTTCATCGACTTTTAGAAGGCCTTCGACAGCATCGATCGAGAGGTGATTACGCAACTACTTCGCTACTACCAAGGGGTCCCATCGACAATTATACATCTCATCCAACAGTTATACGACAATGCTGCATGCCAAGTAATCCACAACGGGAAAATCGCGGAATCCTTCGAAATGAGGACGGGAGTGAGGCAAGGCTGCCTACTATCGCCAATGATTTTCCTGATTGCAGTAGATTGGATCATGCGACAGAGAGCAGGCGATGAGGAAACATGAAAATTCCCATTCAGTCATGGAAAAGAAAAAGTGTTCAGCAAAGAGACTTGACTCTCATTCATTTTTTCATTGAAACCTATCAATTAGATTACGTCACCCAACCTACTTTTGTAACTTTATTTTAGTTTGTAACCGATTAAGCCTTCTAAATTACGTAATTTGTTTGTCAAAAATTAACAATTGAATTAATACATCTTTGGAAATATTCCTTTTGTTGCCAAGACAAATTACTATAAATTTGCGATTTGTACAGCTTGAGAATGATATCGCCGAAAAGAGTAACTCTTTACTGAACACCTTTCTTTTCGATGAGGAAACAGGCATAAAATGGACTCACACAAAAACGAACTTGGAGGATCTTGACTTCGCCGATGATGTATGTCTGATTTCCCACAAACTGTAATATACGCAGATGAAAAGCAACAAGCTGGCCATAGAAAAAGCATCAAAGATAGGACTTCCTTCAGGTGATGAAGATTCCCGGCCAACACCAACAGCAACAACAACAACAGACAACAACCAGCCAACATAAATGGGAGGAACCTGAAAGAAACAACCTCCTTTACCTACCGTTTCAACTACAGGCGGATGGAACTAGTGAGGATATCAAAGCTAGAATCGGAAAAGTAGGAGAAGCTTTCATTACTTTCAAGTCTGTGTGGAGGTCAGCAGCACCCAGCATCGAAAATAAGATCCGGATTTTCAACTCCAATGTGAAGTCAGTGCTTCTCTACGGATCAGAGACTTGCACTATGCGTCATAAAGAGCACCTCAAACAAACTTCAGACCTCCATCAACAGCTGTCTTCGCTCAATACTTAAGATCAGATGGCCAGAAAAGATCGGCAACAGTAAGGGATCTCTTGAAACGAACCAACCAGGAACCGATTTTGAAACAAATATGCAGGAAGAAATGGAGATGGATTGGCCATGCTCTGAGGAAATCATCAAGTGATATCACTAGACAAGCCATCGCTCGAGTGGAACCCGAAAGGGAAGCGGCAAGTTGGTCGTCAGTGAGAGGGTGGGGTGACTTGGAGGAGGTCATGTGAAGAGGAGATGAAAGCATGTGGGCAGACTTGGAGCGAGGTGAAAAAGTTGGCAGAAAACCAAAAGCAATGGAGAAGCGCAGCTGAAGCCCTATGTTCCTCCAGGAATTAAAGGATATAATAATAATAAGCCCTTTATTACGCCCTCTTCTGCCCCACAATGCTCTTCCTATTATCTTACATTTTTGAAATACAAAATTTAAAGTACAGTGACTAAATCCACTGAAAAGTAATGCTTTCGATAGTTCGTGGGAATAATAAAGTAATTTTTCGTGAAGCCTCGCCTGAATAAGAAAGCATCGACTTCATTCAGCAGTGCTTGAGGTTGATGAGATCTGGAAACTAGTATTTCTGTTTAGTTTCATGATTATTTTCATTGCACAAACAGATGGCTTGTGAAATAAACGCAAACCAGGTAAGACTGAAGTGCTGTTTATCCCTAGTCTCTTACATCAGAACAACCTCAACCATATGCTAGATCCAGTTTGGTTACTCATGTCTTGTGGAAGACACATTATCGTTCACCCAATGAGATTCTTTTCAGTTCATCACATTCATCTGTGTCATATTTATTTTGAGACTTCTATTATGTATTGTGAAATTATTTCGACAGTTAAATATGACGTATTACTAATTCAATCTTATTTTCGTTCTCATTTATTTCAGCTTTGTCATCCAAATGTTATAAATGCGATCCATGTCCAAATCCATTCGATCCTTTATCTAAAGACGTAAAGAATGCAACTGATTGTAAATGGTGTGCGGTGAGTAAAAAGTGTTTTCTTGTCGTTCAATATTAAATTGGTGTGCTTCATTAAATGAAATTAGCACACCATTGCAAACTGAACACCATGAGTCTTGCTGGCAATTAAGGCTGATTTAAATCAGTCCAACATTTTTTGATCGACTTCTCATTAGAGAACCGATAACATCTGTAAATTTCGAAGTGAATCACACAAGTTGTGACATCTGAACTAAAAACATCAGTCAGCGAATCGTTGGAATACCTTTTACAAATTATTGAAGACAGGCATAAAATTAAGGCCAAGAGGATTTTTTAGAGTACAAAATCGATTGCCCTAGTTACCTAGACCATTTGTGAGTATCAGCTTCAAAGTAAACGCAAACAATAACGACTAATTATTAGTAAGGATAAATGGCATAGTACGAAATACCATCCACTTGCTGGTGAGTATAAGAACTCCAAAGATGTTTTCCGTCTGTCCCATTGAAATAAACAGCTGATTTCCAACAGCGGAATCATAATTTCTAACTTTGAGTATTTAGTACCAGAGTCTTAATTTTGTACATCATTAAAGAAATGAACAAAATAAGTACTTACTTATAACGCATCGTCTGATGTATCACTTAGCAAATTCATTTTGTATATGACAGCATACAACTGTGATCCGTGTATATTTTATATTGAATGTTGAGGCCAGTACTTCAAGTCATTGTGTCACTGTGATTTAAAATCTATCGTTTAAACGGTTACTTCACTCCATAGTTCATCACGCTTAATTCTATGATGTGTTCTGCCTGTTCTATTCAGTCTTGGATTTTTCAATATTATTAAGTCGGTTATCTCCATATGATAATTAATGATAATGGTAATTACCCAAAGAAGCCGTTTACCATCAAAAGTCGTTTCTCTAAATACTTTATTCTGTATGAAAGTACTGTGTACTAATTCGTAATAAAGAGAAATAAAATAAATTTTCAAGAGTTGGTTTGTCAGGATTAAATCTGTTTTTACCACTTTGACCAAGATAGAAGTTAGAATTCATTGGCTGGCTATTGAATCGGGTGCCAGTGGCTGAATGATATACGAGATTGCCTTGTAACCGGAAGGGTGTGTATTGACAATGATTCCCAACACTAGGATAAAACAGCTGTCCACTACTTCTTGGTGGTTTCGAATGTTTCTCTAACTGATATCAATCTGTGGTAAAACTCGTAAAAACAAATAAAGTAGATCCTTACAACCACCATCTAAAACTCCATCTGCAGTGCTGAGAATATTGTGCGTCGGTGGTATAGCGGTTAAGACGCTCACCGACCATGCACATGGGTGGGGTTCGGTCCCCGGCTGGCACACTCCTTTGCCTCGCTAAGCCAGAAATATTGCTGGTAAGAGGAAAGTTTGGGCATGAGGATAGCAACTCCATCCTGTAAAATAAGCACTGCTACAGAAACTTCAAGCCACTAACTTGAAGCCCTATGTTCCACTGGGGAACGTGAAAGAAAAAAAAGTGCTGAACATATTCTGTGCTCCCTATTGGTAACATTCGCTTCCAGCGTGTTAAGTTGAATTTTCTAAAGAAAACAAATTCATGTAAAAACGCAGAAAAGGAAAATTTTCTTTATCGACGAAATTGACTTCAGAGACTGCACAGTCGCATTTATATTTACCAAAATGTACAGTAGTCTGTTACTGATTATTAAGAGGTGACATAGTTGATAAATCTCTCAAAAGAAGAAATATAAATACGAATGTACAGTCTCTGAAGATGATTTCATCGACACATCTTTTTGTTAAAACAAATTCAATCTACAATAGCCATCAGTCTTATTGTGTAATATATATATATATATAATTTTTCTTACATTTTTCCGCTGTTAGACAGTAACAGTCCGCGACAACAAACCAAAGGTAGTTAGAGAATGTACAAGCGAGTGTTCGACTAAAACCTGGGAGAAGAATACAATTCGTTTAGTTATGTATGTTGCACTGATGACTTTTGTAATTCAACTGTCCATAATTGTTCAGTTCATCGAATACTTCTTGCAGTTCTCTTGGTCATCATTTGTTTTTATATTAATCAAAATAAATAAACAGAAAAAATATTTTCGGCATACTCAATTTGATCTATTTACATCATAATTATTAATGACGTCATCTTGCTTAATTTGTATATCTCACCTCTTTATCTATGTTTAAACCTGTGCTCCATGTAGAATGATTGTAATTCAACTCATGTGAGAGGTTGATCGCTTTCTATGTTACATTTATGTCATGATTTCATTCCGCCTTATTTTGTAATAAAGTCATATTTAAAAAAGTCGTTGTTGAATTTTTACATTCTAGGGGTAAAAAAAAATAGACCATTAGTTCTGATTATTTCACAATGCATTAGGTAGAAGTTATGTTTTGAGAGTTAAATGGTATTAATTGTGACTACTGGAATTGTAATTCATTTATTTATTTATGCAAATGAGTTTCACCTAGTAAGCCAAGAGCCTGAACGTAGTTTCTCACAGTCAATTGGTAGATGGTGACCTTCAATGGAATTCAAGACGCTTATTTCGTCCTATTTGAAATTCGTCGTCTGAATATACTTGTATTTTTCAGAGAGCGGAGGTGTTCTCACCGAGGCTTGAGTCCTGTGTCCATACTTTCAAAAGCCAAGGCATTATCTACTGGACCATTCGGGCCACGAGAACCACTTGTTGTGCAACGAGTCTCATTAATTATTAACTCACTTTCTCCACTTTCTTGAAACTGAAATGAAGTCTGTCTTGTTTTTGATGTCTCCATCTGGTGAAATCCATGTCGCCTTGTGTATATCCTTGTGTCTGAACACACTGCCACCAATTACCAAATCACTGAAGGCGCAGAAGTCTGAGAAGAGTTTACCATTGTCGTTCATTTCACCGATGGCCTCGTAACGCATAGTGAGTTCTTGTGTTGTCTCCTCCCAGCTTCACATTCACATCACCCATCAGGATTTTGATATCGCCATTTGGGACGTTGTCAATTGCTGTTTGTAGTTGTCTGTAGAACACCTCCTTCTCTTGTTCTGAGACGTTTTTAGGTACATAGCATTGAACGATTGTAACCATCCTTCCTTTTGAGTTGAACCTGGCTGTCATTATCCTGAGGGAGACTGGTTCCCAGTGCACGAGAGCTTTGGCTGCTGTTGGTGACATCATGATGGCCACTCACTCGGTGTGCTCATGGTTGTCCTCTGGGTGGCCGGAAAAGATTACTGTCTCTCCAGTTGTTAGTTGGCACCTTCCAATTCCGTTCCATCTGCTCTCACAGATTCCCAGCACTTCTATTCTACACCTTCTCATTTCAGCGGCTATCTGGGTAGCCTTTCCAGTTTCGTACATTGTACGAACATTACACGTGCCCATCCCTACTTTTGCTTTCATCGAAAGAAGGCACATCGGTTTACTGGCTTCCCGAAGGCTTTCACCAGCCTGCGTCATTTCACTTCCCGGATTCCAGAGAAAAATAAGGTTCAATTAAAACTAAAATGTATGTGATTATAATTGTAGTTAAATGTCAAGTGGCAAAGCAAATTAATGTCATATATAGAATAATTCATAGGAGGGATAGAACCTGAAAAAGGATGTGCATCTGCTCTTGTGGAGCTAGGTATATCGGTGGTTCGACTCGATTTTTGTCCAAGAGGGTGCAAGAACACTATCCTGCATGGCTACGAAAAGGTGAGGTGGAGCAATAATAAGCGCGATCATTGAGCATCTGGTCGATATTGGTCACCCTATCTCTATAGCCTCCGCCTTTAAAGTCATCTACAAGGCAAAGAGCAATCTACCCGAATCCCTACGTACCCGACTCATCTGTATTGCTGAAGCTTTGGCTATCGAAACAGAAAAGCCAGATCTCTGTGTACAGAAAAAGTTCGTTCAACCCCTCCAATCTTCATGGTCTTAATCCCTCTATGCTAAAATATGGTAATCCCCAATCATATTTTAGCTCTACCAACTTTTCATTTTTTAATTTTGTCTATTCAATTTGTATACTCTTCCTTATTACGTCGAGTGTTACAATTACTACTCTCACTTGAACTGTCCCCGGTATTATTTCACTTGTTCCACTTGTCATTCTAAATCAATTCTTTTTTACAACGATAAATTCTATGCTATTAAAAATAAGGTTACTGTTTATATTTTTAGAATTTTAATATATTTGTGCGTTGAAGTTTCTGTAGCAATTTGGTTAAGTTTTGGGGGTGCAGTTGCTAGCACCACGCCCCAACACTCTCTCTTTATCCGGGCTTGGGACCGGTTAGAAAACTAGGGAGCTAGTAATCTAGGCGAGGTTATTTGGGAAATAGCTAGGCATAAATACTGTAGTCCAACAGTTTCACGTTCTATGGTTTTTTCATGTGTCTTGATTTTTCAGGATAAATTGGGTTGAAACCAGTTACCTCCAATGAACAAGTATTAGTGAACTTATTGGTTGAGGCAATCATGAAGAGGAGTAGGTTTGAACAGAAGAATGGGTTGGCTCTGACGTAAAAATAAAATAGACACTAATGGAACCAGTCCATTAAATTACTTCCGCTTGATAATGAAAACGAAACTGCCAGCCAGAAAGGGTAAGCAACAAGGGACTCTGACAGCGAGCTAGCCAAAAACCTATTGCTCAACAAATATGTATGAGGAATTTGGGATGGTTGGACATGTGCTGAGGAGATGTCTAGCTGATGATGCGTCAATAAGGCCCCCGGATAGAACTCGAATTGGAAGAAAGGTTGTGGGCACTGATCCGAGGACGCTATGGGAAATGAGGGTGAATGTTTCTGGACAGTGTTGGAACCAGCTGCAAGGGAATCAGAGGATTGATTCCATCTGGGATGCTCTTGTAAAGTCCTATGTTCCCCTCCGAATAGAAGTAATGATTAAAAATAATTGCTTAGACTTTATTCTAACCATTCCTCAATTGTTAATCACACTACTCAGAACGGGCAAGTAACATTGTCACTTATCAGTCATTCAGCTCTAAGTTTATTTAGTCAGTAGACAAAAAAATTCATTTATTTATTTTCGAACAATCTGATGGGCACTCTTCATTATTAACTTACTGTAAACAGTGTTTTATGCCTTGTTTACTGTATGTTGCGGATGGATAAATTATCTGTCTTATTCGGTGTGGTGACGGTTAGTTTGATTTTAGGACGACCTAACACAAACAAGGATAATCCGTGTGATGAGAGATGTGATAATATATATTTCTCAAATTGGCATCAAGCCAGTTTTACGAATCTTGTTAATACTTCAATGTATACTTGCAATCTAGAAATATTTACTTGCCAATAAGTAAAATGAATTTAGAAAGTCAGAATTCTAAAATATGTGAGACATGCAATAAACATTAACAGAAATGGATATTTTATATAAGCGCATGCATAAACAAGACTGAGGAGCTGTTCGTATTCGATGGTTGGAGGCAATCGACAGGAAGCCTTGGAACATAGGTTTCGTGGTATATGGCACTCCTAGCACGGTGGCCACATTGCAAGTTTGACTGATAGATTTCAGTCTGCTCCGAAGATAGGACTAGACATACACATTACACTAGTTATTGACTAGTGTCCAATCAAAACAGACTGAGGAATTTTAGAATGAATATTTTTAAGTTTGGTGATTCTTAACACTCTTATGATGATGGCTAAAAATAACAAATGATTCTATGAATAACTAGGGAATTCAGAATTGTAATAGCGGTTGATTAATAGTATGACATTTTCAAGGTATGAGTGAGTGACAGAAACTGTTGAGTTATTTACGTTAGACGAGTTCTCCTTCATCCATCCAGTCTACATCGAGGTTGTCCAAACACTTCTATCATGTTGATACAATAATGATCCGAACAAATTAGATTATGGAAACTAAAGAGTATATAAATAGATTGGATTAGATCATGAGCACTAAACATCCATTAGAATGATTGCTTGTGCAAGACAAATGGTGTTGAAGCCCAAATGTTAAGAAAGGCAGGGTATGAGGAATGATAAGTGGGCTCAATAAATTTTAGATATTGTTTAGTCTCACATCTACAGGATCCAGTAAATAATACTCTATGATTGTGTAATAAACAAATTAATATAGATCTGAAAGAAGAATATTCTTTTCAAGCCAGTTCTTCGACGGATACATTTTTAACGTAGAATAACAGGTTAGTTATGAGGTGTCCAAATAAATAGTCGTATTTTTGTTACAAACGTGCTAGGCGGAAATCGATTACAAAATAGTGTAAAATGGGAGACAATGATGGAATGGTGGTTAGGAAAACTGACAAGTCAGTTCAAGACTATAAAAGGTATCAAGTGAGTGGTTAGTACAAAGCTGAGATAGTAAGATTGCAGTGAGAGGTTCATAATGAAATAACGAATGTGTGAAATGAAACAGGTGAAGGTACATATTGAGAAAAGAGATACTATCACTCATAATAAGTCCGATAGTATAAATGGAAATTTTGATAGTACTGAGAGAATGTTTGCACGAAGGATATTAACTGTGACGAATAATAATAATTGTGATAATGAGCAAAGAAATAGAAAAACAGCCAAAAGAGTTATGGGGAAGAAGCCCTCTTGTTGAGAAGAAGAATCACCAATCCAAGTTTTTCCACGGTAGGAACAGTGCTTGGACATGTTTTATTTAGATACAAAATTCCGGTTTAGTCAATCTTATTGCAACAGCTTTAGCTACATGTAGCAGACTTAAGCGAACTGTACGTGATAACGACTTCGGAATTCGGTATATAACCCTGAAAGCTGTGTTTACTTCTGAGCTGTGTCTAGTATCGGCCAAGTGTGACTGGATCGAGCTTTTAATAAACTTAATTTCCCCCACCCCTGCTGAACCGAGCTGGTAAATGTTCTCGAACCCGTAGACGAACCTGCCTATTCTTGCGCCCTATATAACTTAAACCACAGAAACAGTTGAAATGGTATATTATAGTAATGACAATATATATTATATTTTATAATTGTAGGAACCTGAAGAGGAGAAATTATTGAAAAGAATATTCTTCGTTCAGACTGACTTTTAATTCATGATATGGGAATATTTCATACTATTAAATAATTATAGAATTACATAATACTACAGCGACCAAGTTTTACACACATTAACACTAGTGTTGCTCTCATGTCGACATCTACCTAACTGTCTGGATTGTTCAAAGTATTTCAACCACGAGCTGAAGTATTTTAATATTTAGGAACATCCTTTAAAACTAAAGAAATCAAAAATAAACCATTCATTAGAAGGCTTTCCATTCGAATTCTTCGAATTTCATTAATTCAAGCGACATTAAATCGACCAAATAACTGTGCAACGGTCTTAATTTTATTAGGAGATCAAACAAACTAACATGCTATTACATTCAAACATAACAAACTCGACTAAAAGGAAATTAATTCTCCAGTTTTCCCTGCTAGTAATTATCATTCAAAAAGTTGGCTGTAAATGGCAGTGCGCAAAAACAAACAGCGATGATATGTTACAGCATAAATACGCCTAGTCTATTTGAGCACCACTTAGACACAAGTAGAAACCAAGAATTCCTGATAACATAGGCCGTGCAAAGCAGCATAAAATTATGAAAATGAAATTTTATATAACCTAATGCCTAGATATGACTATGAAGCAACGCTCACTATCAGAGTCTAACATGAACTCTCAAGGTCATGAAAACTTCACCAATTCATAATGTAATGTCAAATATTTTAATTACATATATTACTTATGTTGTTAGGTGAATTAGAGGCGCTACATTAAGCGCCGTTGTTAAGGTGTGTCATAAACCCACTGAAAAACAAATAGTCATATTTATAAAAAGCCTGGTTGTTTACAAGATTATGTCGCATCTGAGGAAAATTATGAGATTTAATAGTGTGAAATATTCCCATATCATGAATTAAAAGTCAGTCTGAACGAAGAATATTCTTTTCAATAATTCCTCCTCTTCAGGTTCTTACAATTATAATATATAATATTTACTGTCGTTACATAACTTGATATTTTGTGCTCGAGATCATCTCCGATTATGGCTAAGTAAAGGTGTGGTGAAAACCATTAACAGTTGGATATTGGACCATCTGGTTCAAACTGACCTGCCACAAAGCCAACCAGCGTGGAAGAATCCTTCTCTATAATCTACCAGGTGACTAATTAATTCCCGAAATTATCGAAGCATCGCATGCTACAAACATCAGAGGCTATTGCATTTCGCCCCAAACTACCAGTGATCTGTGTTCAACAGAAGCAAGTCCATCCAGCCCCTACTACTGCCCTGGCCTTCAAAGAGACTATAAATTCATGAATTTGTATTATTATCTTTCCTAATATTTCTGACATTAGGCTTATTTTATGTTGATGCTTTTGAACTGCAATCTATCGATTTTATTGATTCGATGTTATTTAAACAGCAACATTAATGTTGTTCATAACACTAATTCATTCATTCACTATGATGTATGCATAACTGTAGAGCCTGATGATGAAGTTATCGAAAAGAGTACTCTTTGTTCAGTATCCCTTCTTTTGAAGAGAAATTTTTGGAAAGAATATTCTTCGTTCAGATTGAGGAAAATAAAAATGTCTGATTATTTCTAACCTCATAAACAACTGTAAATAAACTTCCTGCATATATTTCACACGTACACACATACGAATTCACCACACTGAGATAAACAACGAGAAGGTCGTAAATACAAGCTGTGGGCACACATAACTTTGCCATGTTTTGTTGTTTCAGTAAACTATTATAATACATAATATTTCCTTTATCACATGTTTGAAAATTGTTTGTATGTTTAATAAGTTAGTACTTCAATGAATGGTAAAACCAATAAGCTGAATATATATACTTTTCGGATAGCCAATCACCTGGATGTATTTAGCCTACAGTTTACTAGACCAGTCTTTAAAACTACTCATTTTTAGACGATAATATAAGAAGAGGAATTAACAAAACCACGTGTCTGGATTATTAAATTTTCAGTATCTTCGAGCTAATTTCGTTAAGTAATACCTTCAATCTTCCAATACTGTTATCATGAAATTTGATGTGCAAATTCTGCTAGCCTCCTTGTTAATTGTCATCAGTGCAAATTACGGTAGGTTTTTTTTAAATTTATTGATCTCATAATTATTGGTTCATACACTGGCGGCTATTCACTTAAAAATATTCAGTAAATGTGAAAGAAATTTGTTTATAAGACGTACATTTTAGTTAAAATGAACAAATTTAGGAAGTCGTGAAATTAAAACGAAAAGTAATAGAAGTTATTATCAACAGAGTGGTATATTGTACCTGAACTAAGGAAGTCACATGTTCATAACATCTCCTATCCAATGAGTGACTAGGAATAAACTGTCGTCACCTATTTTTCTGGTTGCTGTCAAAATTCTCTTAAAGACACTAAGAAAGAAAAAGAAGTCCCTCTAAATTCGTTCTAATATGTTGTATATGATTTGCCAGTACTATGTTTTGTGGAGGATTAGAAATAATTTGTACTCGAATAGTTTCGTATATCGTCTTGTACATTTATATTTTCCTTACTAAATCAACATTGGTGACGTTTCTGACTGCAGTACTAGGTGAAGTGGGTTCGGAGCTGTGAAAGAACATGCTTTCCCTCAAGATTGCAAATATGCCCTGGTAATGATTGTCAACAAGCAAGAAATTTAGATCCAAGGCATCCTTCAGATTTCGTCCAAAAGTTTGACAACAACTCAGAGTGTATCGTGATGACCACTTAATCAGACTTCACTGATAGAATTCACTCTGAACCAAACGAAAGACTAGACGTGTAGCATTTGTGATTACATAGCACCCGATCAAAGAATTTGCGTCGAAGTTCAACAATAGCGTCTGAGGAGTGCGGACGCTCCAATAACCTTGAGCGCATGCTAGTAGTTCGTTGACTGTACCAGTCACCATCATAGCTGAAATATCAACGCTATTCAACACTACCCAGATCACGTTTGAGTAATGTTTACACAATGTGCTAATAGCTGGCTGTCTGTCTGTCTGTCTGTTTTCGACATAGAACTTTGCACAAATGTGCGGAAGTTCAAGTCGCTGGTTAGGGTTAGGATTAGGTTCGGTTCAGAGACATAATTGGCATTAGGGTTATTTCTACGGCTAGGATAAGGGTTGTTACTAGGGTTAGTGTTAGGGTAAAGATTAATGTTAGGGTTAACACTAGGGATAGATTTAGGGTTGATGTCACTTATTTTAATTTGTTTTCTTATTCACATTTTCTTGGTAAGTAGTCGCCAGTCCTCTTACTTGAAACCATAGTAAATCAACCGAGGTCTTTTGGTGAAAACTGCATAACAGGACAAGAGAGAATAACAGTTCACAAAGACAGCTAATCTTTAGCCACTTCAGTCAACACATGTAGAGAAACTAGTCTAACTTAGCAACTGATACTTCTCACTGCAAGCGGGACGTATCTTTAAGGCATATCAGGGAAAGATAACCTGCTTAATGTGTTTTGATAAATTTTCCTGTAAATATACGTCAATTTTGTGCAAAAATCGCTTATTTTTATGATTAGTCGGCTGAAGGTCACTCGTGTGCTCTCATCCATTAGGACTTTATTGTTGAGCTTTGCGGAATTTACTTCGTCATGGTTGATCACTTATGTTTAAATGAGGACCTGAATGTGAGTTAAATAGGACTTAAGAATAAAGCTTAATTATGCAGAATAAAATAGCAACTTATAATGAAGACTATTTATAACTTCTAGTTACATCATCTAGAAACCATGATATAAGTAGTAAATAAAGTAAAATTGCATATTTACTACAAGCCGAGATTATTATTATTTCCTTTAATTCTTAGAGAAACATAGGGCTTCAGCTGCGCGTCTCCATTGACTTCGGTTTTCTACCAACTTTTTCACCTCGCTCCAAGTCTGCCCACATGCTTTCATCTCCTCTTCACATGACCTCCTCCAAGTCATCCCGCACTGAAGACCAACTCGCCGCTTCCCTTTCGGGTTCCACTCGAGCGATGGCTTGTCTAGTGATATCACTTGATGATTTCCTCAGAGCATGGCCAATCCATCTCCATTTCTTCCTGCATATTTGTTTCAAAATCGGTTCCTGGTTGGTTCGTTTCAAGAGATACCTTACTGTTGCTGATCTTTTCTGGCCATCTGATCTTAAGTATTGAGCGAAGACAGCTGTTGATGGAGGTCTGAAGTTTGTTTGAGGTGCTCTTTATGACGCGCCAGGTCTCTGATATGTACAGTGAGTAGCACTGACTTCACATTGGAGTTGAAAATTCTGATCGGTTAAAACGCCGAGATCTGTAAACTAAACTATGAGTGTTTGTAGTATTTCTTGGAAAGGTATAGATGCTCTAAATAAGCTTGCTTCTTTGGCCTTTCCTAGCTAATATGCTATTTATTCACAACAGTAGATTCTTGATGTATCTAATTTCATCCTTGTCTACCATTCTAGCCAGACTCAGAGATATATAGCTGAAAAATTCCTATCTCTATTATTATTGTTCCCTTGCGTTCCGAGTGTAAAATAGGGCTTCAACAACACATCTCCAATTTGTTCTTTTTTCCGACGTACTAGTTAACTAGCGTTGGGCGAGCAACCCCACACCATTAAATCTTTCAAAATGCTAGAGGAACTTCAGCACACTGCAAACTTCTTAGATGAGATAAAATAAGAAATAAGGTGGTAGCATAGCCACATTATTTAACACAAACAAAACAAATCCCAGTTCTCCTAATAGTCACTTGTGGTGGCTGTATTTGCTGATGATCGAATTACAGGTGAAAGTCAGTAGGTCGTTAAAATCCTATCCAGATTAACTAGAATATAAAAGATGGCCGATGTATCAACAGGGAATTTGATATGCATGTCAAGCAATTCAAGTTGCCTCGATTCGTCCATCTGTAGGTGACCTTGATTACAGTGACAAACGAGCTCAGGATAATTGTTAAATATGAAATATTTATATATATGGATATCATAAAGTAAATATTACTAACTGCGTAATTCTCTAAAACATACATCAAAACTACAGTTTTAGAACAAAATTATTAGAACTGACGAATACATGATACATTTGAAGCATGTTGAAAAAGGTGTAACTTTTTAAACTTGTACTTTGTTATGTGAATAGAATTTCGGCACTCCGGTAGAGCGAAACCTTTTTTAGCATTACCTTGATATCATTATGAGTAATAAATTGTGCTTTAAAGAGTATCAATAGATAATTTATGATGTATCACTGCTGTTCTTGATGTCTAAAACTCTTTCAACCCTCTGTGTCACCGTCAATATCCAATATGAACATTGTAAGCTTTGTGAAATACATGTAAAACCATAATAATAATGATTCACTTTATTCTAAAAAATTACTTGTGATGCAGAATGGAATTTTCAGCACTAATCACAATATGGCATCTAATTTCCTCAAATCGCAAATAAATGTAATCACAAAAAAACTTTCCACACTTACAGTAGGCTAATGTCAAAAACATGCAGCATATAAAATGGAAATAACAATAATAATGATAACAGCTAGGGTAACAATAATACAAGTGGAAATTCCCGTGGTCTTGTTTCACACAGTATTGTCAATGCAGTATAGAAATCTTAGCATGTTTAAAAATATTGAATATAATGTTCTCTTTGCATGATATGGTGAGGGAAAAACAAAAATTACAGCAGTCATAGAGATAAGTTAGTGTTTGCAAATATGAGAGTAAAACAAGGAAGTAACAGGACCATAAATATAATAGAAATAATAAAAGTAAAACTTGAAGTGATATAAGGATGGATGGAGGAAATTGTTTACTTACAAGATGAAAAAAGGTTAGTTAATTGTTTTTATTCTGCATAGCTCTGTGCACTTTCTCATTACGAAATAATCAGGTGTACAAATTGAAAAATTGCGAATCTAATAAAACTTTGTAGCAGTAAGTAGTAATACAGGGAATGACAGAGAGCTCATTAGTTTAAGAATTTAGATGACACATGATAAAATATTCCCCCTGGAATGCCGCTAGTTGTGAAGCTAAGAGAGAGGTGGTGAAATTCATCAATGCAGTTTCACAATAACAAGCTAGAATAGTTTAGCATACCTGACGGACAAATATACATACTTTCAATTATAGAATTATATAATTTTCCGGCGCGCAAGCCCTTTATTATGCCCTCTTCTCTACCACAGTGCTCTTTGACTTATCTTAAATACTCGAAACACAGAATTTAAAGTAAACTGACTCAATCACTTGAAAGTAACGACTTTGATAGATCGTGGGAATAATAAAGTAACATTTTCCGAAGCGTCCTCTGAATAAGAATGCATCAACTTCATTCAGCAGTGCTTGAGTTTGATGAAACCCGGAAACTAGCATTTCTGGTAATTTAAAGATTATTTTCATTGCACAAACAGATGGCTTGTGAAATAAATGCAAACCAGGTAAGACGGAACTGCTGTTTATCCCTAGTCTCTTACATCAGAACAACCTCAACCATATGCTAGATCCAGTTTGGTTACTCATGTCTTATGGAAGACATATTATCGTTCACCCAATGAGCTTCTTTTCAGTTCATCACATTCATCTGTGTCATATTTATTTTGAGACTTCTATTATGTATTGTGAAATTATTTCGACAGTTAAATATGACGTATTACTAATTCAATCTTATTTTCGTTCTCATTTATTTCAGCTTTGTCATCCAAATGTTATAAATGCGATCCATGTCCAAATCCATTCGATCCTTTATCTAAAGACGTAAAGAATGCAACTGATTGTAAATGGTGTGCGGTGAGTAAAAAGTGTTTTTTAGAGAACTAACTGTCTTTCATGTCGTCCAATATTAAATTGCAGTGCTTCATTAAATGAAATCGTCTCACTATTGCAAACTGAACAGCATGAATCTTGCTGACATTTATAGGCTGATTTAATTCAGTCCAACATTTGTTGTAATCGACGTCTCATTAGCGAATCCGTAATATATCTACATTTCAAAGTGAATCACACACTTTCTGACATCTGAATTAACACTATCAGATACCGAGTTATTGGAAAATGTTTTGCAAATTAGTAACAACAAGCATAAAGTTAAGGCCAAGGGGTATTTTGTTAGCACAAAATAGGTTTTCCCACTTACCTAGATGATGTCTAAGTATCATTTTCAAATCAAACTCAAACTGATTATTAGTAAAGATAAATGGCATTGTAGTGAACGCTGTCCTCTTGCTGGTGAGTGTAAGAACTCCAACGTTGTTTTCCATCGGGCTCGTTGAAATAAACAGCTGATTTCCAACAAAGGGATCATAATTTCTGACATATAGTATTTATTACGAGAGTCTTAATTTTGTACATCATTAAAGAAACGAATAACATGAGTATTTACTTAAAAACCATCATCTGATGTATTACTTGGCGAATTCAGTTTGTATATGACAGCATACAACCATGATTCATATATTTTTTCACATTGAGTATTGAGGCCAGTTCTTCAAGTCGTTGTGTCGCTCTGATTAAAAATCTACCGTTTGAACGATTACTTCCGTCCATAGTTCAAAACGTTTATTTCTACGATGTGTGCTACTTGTTCTCTTCAATTATTGGTTTTTCAATATTATCGAGTCGGTTAACACCATATGATAATTAACGATAATGGTAATTTCATGCATTTATTCCTCTTGATTAATTTGAATGAAGCAAAAACAACAGTGGTTTGTGCAGAATAATATTTTACCATCATTTATTGCGTTGACTTCTCATCAGCTGCTTACAGCCTAAATAAATTATGAGTTTTAAGTACAGAAACGTTTCAAGACACTTGCAAATTTTACATGTTGTCAGTTGACAGAAAGTTCCACAAGGTGAATTACAGATTATTAAAGGAGGGTGAGGTTAAAGACAAAGATTACGTAATCAGATGAGAGAAAAAATAAAGACATCCAGTTACCAGGTGGGAAAGGAAAGACTAATAACTGCTTCTTTCTGAACACATAAATCTGGTTTCAAGCGCTTGATAAAAATGGCTTCGGAAAACTTGAGGAGAATGGAGCTCCTTTGTCTATTGATAATTTTGAAGAATTTCTCGATTTCCACCTCATGACCCGTGTCGAGGAGATGTCTGGTAATAGCGTTACTATAAGAGTTTGTTCCCTTGAGACGTAGGCTTTTCGGCACATGTTCAGAAAGACGGAGGTGTGCCCTCCTTTCTGTTCTTCCAATGTAACTGCTCCCACAGGTACATGTAAATTTGTATACACAGTTTGAGTTAACATGAGAAGGGTATCTATCGACTTTTGACTGCACCGAAGAGTATGTTGTTCGATGGACGGGAACCAACTTAGCTGCAGGATAGGCTCTGGCTAGTGACGTCCTCAGTCTTCTATTGACCATTTCTGCAATGTTTTCAGCTTTAAAATCTAGTTGAATGAAGACAGGTTTTTTTTCAACTGTGGTTTGTTTGGTATTTGAGGCTTCACATGTTCCATATTTGTTAATGAATCTTTGAGGATAGCCGTTGTTTTTCAGCCACTTTCCGAGAATCGTAAATTCTTCCTCTAGTTTCTCTGCAGAGCATACTCTCCTCGCTCTATAGTACAGAGTCTTGACTAGTGCTCGTTGATAGCTATTTGGACAAAAACTATTAAAATGTAAGTATTGTCCATTCCATGTGGGCTTTCGGTCGATTGACCTCTGGAGACTACCATCTTCTAGTTGTTGCATGGCGACGTGAAGGAAATGGCACTTACCATCATTTTCATGTTCCATAGTAAATACAATATTTGTATGTACGTTGTTGAATAGTCTGAGTAGGTAGGAGGCATGACTTTCGTTGCTGCATACTAACTATGTGTCATCGACATAGGAACAATAGGACGTTGTTTGATCAGTTGCGTGCTTCAACTTTGTTTTCTCAAGGTTTCACATGGAGATATCTGCTAAAACAGGACTAATTGGATTGCCCATAGCTACACCATCTATTTGTCGGTAAAGAGTGTTGTCAAACTGTAATTGTACACTTATGGTACACATTAGCAGTAGGGGTTTGAATTCTGGCTCTGGTGGTGGGAGAAGATCAGACTGTTGACATATGATCTCAATGGTTTCATTGATTGGGATCATTGTGAACAAGGAGGTTGCATCAAATGGTAATCAACTAAAGAAGCCACCAGGGACACTTAGGTTGTACCATTTAGCGTCAAAAGGTGTTTCTCTAAAACCTTTACTCTGCATGAAAGTACTTCGTACTAATTCATAATAAGGAGAAATAAAATAAATTTTCAAGAGTTAGTTTGTCAGGATTAAATATGTTTTTACGAGTTTGAACAAGGCAGAAGTTAGAATTAATGGGCTGGCTATTGAATCGGGTGCCAGTGGCTGAATGGTATACGAAATTGCTTTGATAACGAACCCCAATGGTTGCGTACTGCCTATGATTTCCAAGACTAGGATGAAACAGTTGTCCAGTACTTTTTGGTGGTTTTCAATGGTTCTCTAACTGATATCAATCCATGATCATACTCGTAAAAACAAATAAAATAGAGCCTTACAACTACCAATTGGAACTCCATCCGCAATGCTGAATATATACTGTGCTTCCCATTGGTAACATTCACTTCCAACGTATTAAGTTGAAGTTTCTAAAGAAAACAAATTCATATAATTACTCAGAAGAAGAAAATCTTCTCCATCGACGAAATTGACTTCAGAGACTGTACAGTCATATTTTTATTTAGTAAAATGTACAGTAGTCTATTAGTGAGTACTAGGGGGGGGACGTAGTTGATATTATTACTCAGAAGAAGAAATATAAATACGAATGTACACATTGGGACATGGGAGTTATTAAGAAGACAATTGCAGGGAAGAAAATTTTCTTTTCGACGAAGTTATCAACTAGGCTGTACATTCGTGTATTTATATCAAATGGATGGGAAAGTTCCAGAATAATTTCCGATTAAGGATCAAATTAATAAAAATTACAATTATGAATAAGAATGCCATAATAAACAGGGGGATGGATAAAACAAACAAAGTAGCATCATAATAACTAAGAAGATTGACATTGTGCAATTAGGGGTTAGAAATGTAGAAATAACAAAATAGACAGGATGTTTGGATAAAAAAATTAATGTGATGAATAAATTGTTTATGCAATCAGGGATTAAATATGTAGAAATAGTAAAATGACAAAATAAACACGAAGTTCGGGTATGAAAATATGGTAGTGTAAGCAGGGATTAGGGAAAACTTAAAATAACATGAATAAACAGGAACTTTAGATAAGAAAGGCGATGGGATGGTCATTACTAAAAAATTACTTGTTTATGATGGCCATGGTGGGGACAGGGGTTGGACGTATTTCTTTTGTATACAAAGCGTGCTTTTGAGCTTTGAATAGCTAGCGCCTTGGCTATGCCCAGTTGTCTTGAATTCACTACCTTTGATAGGTTTGATTGAATCTTGTATATGTTTTTGATATATATATATATATATAATATGTGATTTTTCTTACATTTTTCCGCTGTTAGAAAGTAACAGTTTCCAGCATCTCACCGAAGGTAGTTAGAGAATGTACAAGCGAGTGTTCGATTCACAACTGGGAGAAGAAATACAATTCATTTAGTTATTTATGCTGTACTGATGACTTTTGTAATTCAACTGTCCATAATTGTTCAGTTCATCGAATACTTCTTGCAGTTCTCTTGGTCATCATTTGCTTTTATATTAATCAAAATAAATAAACAGAAAAAATATTTTCGGCATACTCAATTTGATCTATTTACATCATAATTATTAATGACGTCATCTTGCTTAATTTGTACATCTCACCTCTTAATCTATGTTTAAACCTGTGCTCCATGTAGAATGATTGTAATTCAACTCATGTGAGAGGTTAATCGCTTTCTATGTTACATTTATGTCATGATTTCATTCCGCCTTATTTTGTAATAAAGTCATATTTAAAAAAGTCGTTGTTGAATTTTTACATTCTAGGGGTAAAAAAAAATAGACCATTAGTTCTGATTATTTCACAATGCATTAGGTAGAAGTTATGTTTTGAGAGTTAAATGGTATTAATTGTGACTACTGGAATTGTAATTCATTTATTTATTTATGCAAATGAGTTTCACCTAGTAAGCTAAGAACCTGAACGTAGTTTCTCACAGTCAATTGGTAGATGGTGACCTTCAATGGAATCCAAGATGCTTATTTCGTCCTATTTGAAATTCGTCATCTGAATATACTTGTATTTTTCAGAGAGCGGTGTTGTTCCCACCGAGGCTCGAAACCTGTGCCCATAGTTTCAGAGGCTAAGGCATTATGCACTGGACCACTTGGGGCACGAGAGTCACTTCTTGTGCATCGGGACATATTAATTATTTAATTCAGTTTAGATTTTTCCCGTTGATTGGTTGGACCAAAGTGCCCGGTCTCATGTTGACATGTCGGCTCCTTATGAAGATATCTGGTAATGTAACTTGAAGTCGATCGGGAGATGGTGACTGGCAGTGGAATCCAGGAGGCGCATTTCGTCCAATTGTTGACTGGATGTACCTTCACGCACCAGTAAGTGATGATGTTTACACCGAGACTTGAACCCTGTGCGTTATATTTGGAATTTAATAGCCATGTTATATGATCACTATTCTTCAAAGATGTGATTCAGTTTGGTACACAGATCTGTTACTTGTCACTTATCTAATTTTCAGTCTCATATAGGAGAAACGTTAATGAAGTTTATCACAATACATAGCACTACACGCGATCATTATCAGTTTCACTGACTGACTGAATGAATGAATTTCAACAAAGGTAGAAAAATGAAAAAAGCGAAATTCAGAAAGAATATGATAGGCAGAAATGTGTGTAAGAGTAACTATCACGTGTTAGTTTATAGGGATTTGATTGGTTACAGGTTTGGTCACGAGTTGACATCTGTTAGAAAGCCATTGGAAAACTCATGATCAAACCTACAACCAGTAAGATCCCTTCAAACCAACATTTGACAACTAATCTAATTTTTTTTATTGTAAAGTAGTCAGTAACTAGTGAAATGTGTCTAGTCCTATCTTTGAGGCAGACTGAATTCTATCAGTCAAGCGCGTTCGAATCCCAGAAGGGACATGAGTTCATTCAAGGCTGCAGATACGCCTTGGTGATGAGTGCCAACTAGCACAAAAACTAGATTCAAGGCTTCCTGCCAATTGCCTCCAACCATCTAATATCAATAATCTGATTCTTACTAGTGACTGGTTGTTTAAGGGAAGTTACCTGAAATTCTAGTGAGAAGTCATACCAAGTGCGGTCCACCAAGTCAGACAAGAGACCAGTTACTCGCCTATGAGTTTGTCTGGCGGTTGCGCTATATACATCGCGAAATGTGAGAAGTTAGAATTTATGGACCGGTCATCAGGTCAGATCCCAGTGGCTGAACGGTATACGAGCTCACTTTGAAAGCGTTAGGTCATGGGTTAGATCCCGTATGTGTGTGCAATACTGAAGAGTCTAAAACTAGGGTAAAACAGGTGCCCAGTACTCCTTCCAAAAGTTCTCTAACTGATGTCAACTCATGATCAAACCGGAAAGAATAATAATGGGGAAAACATGTGGGTGTATTAGTTATGAGAGATCACGAAAAGTCAATGTTTCTATCATAGAGATCAATTTTTAGCCATATCTCAAATAGTCCCAAGCCATTGGTTCTTAGCATCCCGAGAAACCGCAACCAAGCATTCTACACCTCTCTAGGTAGCTCAAAACGACTGCCGAAAATTTCACGAACTGATTCTAAGTTTTTGTCTGTCACTCATGATTGTTTTTCAAACTAATCTTATGTCAGTTAACATTGTTGTTAATGCAAAAGCGTTGGTTCATTGTGCGCATCACTTGTGATAGCTATCGCAATCTATTTAGCTTCATGACCTAATCGATTGACTTCTCTTTCTCGCCAAACACTTTACGCCTAACTTCAACATTGCTCTCCATATTATACCACTTACTACAGCAAGCAATTATCAGTGCAAACTATTAAATATTAGTAATCATTTTAAACATTTAGATAGTCTACGGAATCTATCTTCATCTCATGAATGCGATTTGCTATATTTGAATCTTGCTTCGTAAATAGTACAAATTACTGTCAATTGCATTCGGATAATTGTTCATCTGATGTATAATATATGGTTAGAGGAAATAAGCACTAACCGATATAACATTAAATTTTAAGAAATATGTGTATCATATACATTTAAAGTTTTTATCAGTAATGAATATATTTACCCAGAGGAAATAAATGTGACGAGTTAGAATTATTATATGTGTAAAACTTGGGAACTGTGCTAGTAAGTAATTCCATATTAGTTTGTTTGTTAGATGTATCACACAGTGAAACAGTATTAGTATTTACTGGATGACGTTTCGAACACAATTCACTTATTGTTCATAATCATATCAATTATAATCACACGACTTCGAGACCTGATTTTTATAGCTTTCTTTGTTCTCTCCTATTTATCGTCGTTTGAGTAGTAGAATTTTCCAGATATCTGGGACAGATGCTGAATCATTCCTATTACACGTGTTTGCAGTTGATTCCGTAAACAAAGCTTCCGTCATCAATCTCTCCCTCCACCCCACTGTTACATTAGATTTTAAAACTGTCATCTTATCCCATCCTATTGTGTGGTTGTGTGCAATTGCATATGGTAGATGCTATAGCTGAACTATTCTCTAGATTTATTATCTTATTCGGGTCAACTAATCTAGATTTTGCTAGGTTTTTATGTTCGGCTAGTCTGACTGCCCCTGTTCTACTAGTTTGACCTATGTATTTGATCTGATAATCTTTGCAGGTAGGGTATTAGATAAACTAAATTGTTTTGTTTTAAAGGCTCCACAGGATCCTTTAACCGACAAAACTCGTTTCTAATTGAGTTTGTGGGTTTGAATACCACTTTTATTCCTGCCTTGCTGAAAATTCTGCGTCAGGTTTCCGAGGTTCCTTCCTTGTATGGAATTACTGCTGATGATTTAAATTCCTTATTGTTGGTGTTGTCTTGCGCATGTTTGACATGCACTTCGCAATTAATATTACTATCATTATTGTCATTATTATTAATATCATTATTATTATTATTATTATTACGATCACTACAATCATTATTTATTCTATTTTCACATTTCCCTACATACTTTCTGACTAATTTATCAGGGTAATTACTAAATTTCAAAACTTCCACTATATGCCTCACTTCCTGTCCTAGATTTTTCTTGGTACTACTTAGTTTTGTGCGTTATTATTTAAATAGTTCACCTCTCCAATTTCGACTGACATAGGATGGGATAATCGGAAGTCCAAATATCTGTTTCAATGTGTGCGTTTTCTGTAAACACTGGTGTTAAACTTCCCATCTTCTTTCCCCTTTACGTTGCAATCTAACATTGGAAGCTCCCTGTTGTAACTGACGATTTCTATCTCTGTATTGTTTAAATACCTACTGTTGTTTGTTAATATATTTCTTATATGAATTGAACTATAATTACGCCAAATACAAATTCCTAAATTCATCCCTCTCTTTGTTGTTGGCTGATTTCCTTTAATTCGGTCATTTCGAAATACAAATACTACTATTACATATAAGTACAACACTACTCTTCCTGACTTTCCAATTCATAAGTGAATTGAATTGCCTATACCTTCGAGTTGATGTGTTCTAGAAATCTGTCTATATTCTGTGTTCTTAGTATAGTGAATGTGTCATCTACATTCCTCCACCATATTTTTGGGTTGGGGGTGAACGTTTCAATCGCCATGTTTTCCCACCTATCCATGAATATATCTGCTACAACTGGGGATATTGGTGATCCCATGGCAACTCCCTCAGTTTGTTTGTATATTTTCCCTTGGAATTTAAATACTGTGGGAGTCAGGCATAGTTGCACTTCCAGAATTATGTCCTCAAGTGTCACTTTTGTCCTAAGTTCGAGTTCTTGGTCAGAAATGAGTTCGTTTCTGACTGCCTTGTTCATGATCATAATCACAATTGATATGATTATGAACAATGAATTTCGTTCAAAATATCATTTAGTAAATAATACTGTTTTACAGTGCGATACATCTAATAAACAAACTAATATGTAGTTAGAATTAAACTTGACTCTAAGTTGTGAGTATGAATTTGAAAACTGACAATAGAAAATTTATTCTTTTTTTCGTGTCCCATGCGAATCAATAAATGCTGGAGATGATTATCAAAATCTTTATGCAGTTATATATAAAATATTCCCAGGGCAACTGGAAAACACAGCACAAGATCCCTGTGCTCCCTGGAATAACTCACTCACGTCTAAATGGCTCAAAATAGCAACATTTACTAAAAAAAAAGAGGGTAGACAGTTAACACGCCTAACTAATAATTCGATTCACCCATTTTTAAGACTTAGTAAAACCTTCGTCAAGTCTTACCTGTACCAAACTTCATCCCACTTTGTATTCATCCTAGACACATCTAAGGGACATAAGGATTGAAAATCGTCTATAGTTATTTTTAACTGTCTAGCCAGAATTGAAGCTGAAGAACACAGAGTGTTATGTCAGTATATCAATATTCACTATTTTGGTCATTAGCTTTCATTATAGACTATAATGTATTCTGACCAAAAGACAGCTAAATATAAATTATTCGATTAAGATAGGAAAGGAATATTGAAACGTGCATGCAAATATCTGATTGAACTATTCGTTGTGCATACGATAATTATAAATTCGGTAAAAAAAGGTTGCCTGCAAAAGAGCGATGAAAATATTCAAATGTATCACTGGTGTTTAAATAGCTTACGAACAGCTTACGTATATTGACAGCGATTAAATAATTACTGTGACGATAAAGCAAAATATGTTTAATCAATAAACCTTCTTACCAATGGAGAGGATTACAAATTCCATACCTTCAAGATCGTGTGCCGAAT